GTGTGTGTGTTGGGTTTCGGGGGGACATGTCTCTGGTCCTGTGCTGCCGGGTAATTGGCTGGTTCCCTGCTGGCAAAGGGGGCGGTCACTCTGGAGGCGGGCGGAGCCCTGGCCGCTGCTGTGCTGGGCGGAGTGGCGGTAGGCCGGGAGAGGGCCGAGCCGGCCGAGGGGGCAGCTCCGGAGGATTCTGGCAGCGAGCGGGAGTTCACGGAGCCGCTGTGCGCGCTGGTCCAGAACTGCACCATGCTGCACAACATCGTGGGGCCCGCCTGCATCTTCCTGAGACAGGGCTTTGCGCAGTCCCAGCTCGTACGTACAAACAAAGCACAGCACGGTGGAACGTGCACCATCGGACCATCGTGGCACGTGCAGTCATCGCGTCATGGCACGTCAAGTTATTGCATCATCGCCTCATAGTATGTGAAGTTATTGCATCATTGCATCATATAGTGAGAAGTAATTGCATCATCACATCATTACATGTGATGTTATTGCATCATCACATCATAGCACTGCAGTCATCGCATCATCGCCTTGTAGCAGGCAGGCTGACATGATAAGTTAGCCAAAGCCCTGCAAAACTCACCTCCTGCTTTTCATTCTGAAATCTCATGTTGTCAACAAAGTAGCTCAATTGTGAATGATTCTTGGAGTAACTGTCTCTTTAAAAAGTAACGCTGTTGTTTGAAGTGTGTCCTCTGCTTAAGGGACCTGTAAAGACATGGATAAATACTCATTTATAGGCACTCTCCATTCCCCAGGTCGGGGTCTGTAAGGTGCTGCTCCATGTTGAAATGGATGATTTGAGTTGCACCTGGGGCAGGACCTGAACTCTAGAACCTGGGGCACAGGTGGCCATCAGCTCTTAGCGTGCTCTCAATGGAAGATGAAGATGGAGAAACTTGTCTCACTCTCTCTATTTCTGCAAGATAGACTAGCACCGATGTGTCCACACCTGCTTTTCACCCATCCACTGATACAGGAAGAATATCTTTCGCTCCCTTCCTAACATCTGTGTCCTTATGATCAAGGGAATGGGATATGTCAACACTCCAGGAACAACACAATGGACGTGCTTTTCTCTAAAAGCCCCGGCTGCCACAGTCTATCTCCTGCGTCATGACTAACCCTGAGATGTGCAGTCAGGCAACCCAAGCTCTCGCTGAGCCACGCTGGCCAAACCATGTGTTCTCACATACAAGAGCACAGGACACCCCCAGAAACCAGAGGGGAGTCATTTGGCCAATCCAGACCATTTTTGTAGTCGGTAGCCAACTGATCTCGGGCTCTCATCCAGCTGTTTCTTGAAGTCCGGGTATCGGCTTCAAAAACATGCCTGGATGGCTTGTTCCACACTCCCACTACCCTTTGTGTAGAGAAGCACCCCCCCCCCCCCACTTCTCAGTTTTAAATACTATTCTCTGTAGTTTCCACTGGTGTCCTCGTGTGGTTCAAGGTTCACTCTTTCGGAAGGTGAACAAGGCAACAGGGTTGCCATGACAGGCAACAGGCACTGTGATGTGTCACCTGTCTTCGTCCAGTTTAAACTGGTTGGCGGATGTTAATTGCCATCAAGGATGGGCTGAGTGTGGAGGGTGGGAATGTATTAAGTGAAATAATTATCTGTGGTGTATTCGTTCAGGTGGGTAGCTGCGTCAGCATGCGTAGGCTGCAAAGGACCAAGTAATAGGTTTATTCTACGCTGAAAAGAGAAGAAAAAAAACATAAAGTTTCAGCTGTGGAGCCTGCTTCAGGTGTGAGCTGAAGAAGGCTCCACAGCCGAAACTTTGTGTTTTCTATCTTCTGTTTTCAGCATGGAATAAATCTATTACTTGTTCCGAATTATCTGTGTGTTGCCAATATTACAGGGTTTTCAATTAAAACAATGGCCATAAACTTGCATTCCTTTCCTTCGTCAAAACAGCAGAGACACATGACGTAAACTAGTCCTTATAACTTTCTCCTTTTAACTTCTGACTCCCTTCTGACGGTTAATTCCACAATTTTCTGCATGCAATATTCTGACAGTCTTCCGTGTTCACAACAGGTCTAATCCATCACTGATTCTTCTAATTGGCTTCAGCGGGTGAGAAAACAAACACCCAACTGTCTCCAGCAGTTAACAGTAGTAATTTTAGAAGAAACACTGCAGACACATCTGCACGTCACAAAGGGGCACACCTACCGGGTGTCTGAGGTAAAACGTGACGGAGCAGTCATGGCTATGCAATCTGCTGTCGGCTTTTTTCCCTGGTCAGGAAAAAACTCTGTGCTCAACTCGTGCTGTCTTACAGCTTGTCCCCCAGGACCAGCCTGCCCACAATGGGAGATACAACCTCCTCTTCCTCTGCTCCAAAACTGAGGGGGCAGAGTCTCAGGGCTTCTAAGCCTCAGTTTAAAACCCGGCCGGTGGAGGCACGTTTTTTATTGTAACGGGCGTTACTGAGTTTCCGAGATTAAGAATAAGTGTGTTTTCGGGACCCCAGCCTGTCCTGCTCCAGCCCCTGGGCCGCTCGGTCTGTCCCACCTGAAGAAGCGTCTCTCTGCACCGGCGAGCCCTGCTCTCTCCCGCTGTTCCCGTGTTGTAAAAAGCCACCCCTGCTGCCGCTGGTGCCAGGCAGACAGATGGACGCCCAGACGTACAAACAGCGTCTTTTCTCTGCCCTCGCTTTGGCACAGATGGCGCAGGGTTCCCTTCTTTGGGCTTTCCGGCCAGGATTTAAATGCGCTTAGTGTGCAGAGTGCTGTCCGGGCCAGGGGAAATCTGTCGTGTTATTTTTCATAATCTCCTCATCTGGAAAAGCAGGGCCTGTTGTTACACTAATCGTGACTCTGTTCCTCCTGCCGTGAGATTAGCGTCCCCGCCAGGCCCAGCCTGCTGATGTGCGTGAGAGGATGCGAGCCGGTCACCAGGACCTCCTCTGAAACAAACATGGAGGAAAGAACAGGTGAAACAGAGAACAAGAGGCACTTCTTTACACAAAGGGTGGTAGGAGTGTGGAACAAGCTACTCAGCCAAGGTGTTCAAAACTGATACTCTGATATTTTTCAAGAAAAAGCTGGATGAGATCTTCCAGTAAGGACTGTATAAGCATGTTTTTACTCAAAGGGTGGCGGTAGTGTGGAACAAGCTGCCCAGCCATGTTGTTGGAGCCTCAGCTCCATTAACTACTAAGGCCCAAACGGCTTGGGTGAGCTAGATGGCCTGGTCTCATTTGTGCCCCATCCTGCACTCTCATGTTCAGTGTCTCACGGGTGTCCAGTCTGAGCAGGGCTTCTGTCACTCCTGAGTCTTTACATTCTTCTGCCGAGTCTGGTCCAGTGTGCAGACACTGTTCTGAGAGGTGTCGTGTGTGTCACCATGTGCCCCTCTACACAACACGTGTACACAGAATGTCTAAGGTCTGTTCTCTGTGTGTGTGTTTGGCAGTCTGTCCTATTCAAGCCTGAATCTTCCTGAATCCTGCTGTCGCCTGACAGGCCTGAGGAATAATCCCGGTCCTCCTGATGACCCATGACCTTTCGCTGTGTCATAGTCCGTGATGAGGATGAAAACACAAACGTGTGTGCTGCTATGCTCAGCAGGTTGCCTGTGCTCTGCTGTCTCTCCCCCCTCCCCCTGTGTGTCTGTGGGAAAGCTGTGTTCTCTCACTGTTTCTACTGCTTGTGTTCACTGCATGGAGAAACAGGACCCCGGAGCCGGGAAGCATGCTGGGACACCGAATGGGAGCAAGAGGAACGCAGGGACAACAGACCGCCCCGGGCTGAAGCGGCTGTTGCCCATGGAGCCCCTGCTCCCTGCTCCTATGCTGAACTCCTGCAGGAGAGACAGCAGAGCAATATGAGCCCATCGATGCATTATCCTGCCAGTTACTGTATTTACATGTCATGGCCTGACAGCTGTGTGCAAGTCCATAAGACACACGTCTGGACCAGCAGGGTGGAGTGTGTGTTGGACCCAGTGCTGTCTCTGCATGTTTACAAAACACACACACGACAGTGTGAGCGCGTGTGTCTGAGTGGGGGTACAGAGCACAGTACAGCGCAGCAGATCTTGGGGAGACCATGTGCGTGTGTCAGTGCTTATCAGTAGTGAGCTACGGGGAAGGGCAGTATGACCTGGAGCAGTGTGCTCACAGCTCGCTCTGTGACATGAGTCAGTCTGCTGGAGCTGCACACTGATTCTCTCCTTGTGTCTCCTGTGTGTCTCTGCAACTCACTGGAACAAAAACTACCACAGGATAGGGACCTTCGACCTGAGGAAATAGAAGGTATGACAATCATTTTAACAGC